TACTGATCATCTTCCTCAAGATTCACGACATTGCCAACACCATCAAAAACAAATCCGACCAGCTCCAAGCTGTGGCTACCTTCATGCTCAGTTATGGACCGTGAGCTCATCAAAATCGCAAACTGGAACGCTTGCTCGCTCAAGAGCAAAATTATCATAGCATCGACATCGCTATCATCACCGAAACTCACATGAAAGCGGAGATGAACGTATTTATTCCTGGATTCCGGCTCGTGAGGCTGGATCGGACAAGCTCTGGAGGTGGTTGAGTGGCCATCGCTACCAGGAACAACATCTGCTGCCGGCTGTTACCCAGTTTCCAGCTGAAAATGGTTGCTCTGGAGGTGGTTGAGTGGCCATCGCTACCAGGAACAACATCTGCTGCCGGCTGTTACCCAGTTTCCAGCTGAAAATGGTTGAAGCATTGGGAGTGGAAGTCTTCACACCCGTCGGCCCCCTCACCATCATTGCAGCCTACTGCCCGAAACAATCAAACGCTAGGGATGGATCCGTGGCAGACCTGCAAGAGGCTCACATTATCCGGAGACGCCCTAAGACGTTGACCGGTGTCTGCATTCCATTGAGGAGGTGATATCCCGGGCCAGGGAACAACACGTGCCAGTATCCAGACAGGTGAGCAATACTCTGAACCTTGACAGATCTACCAAAGACCTTATAAGACTCCGTAACACCATCCGAAGGCAGTACCAACGCTCTGGTCTGCCTGTCCTTAAGACCCACTGTAATCAAACCAATCCAAGCCAGGATGGTGGACCTCAGAAATCAGGACTTTGCTAACAGGATCTGCTCTCTCCCAGATTGTGCAAAGCCATTTTGGAAACTAACTAAAATTCTCAAAAATAAGCCAAGACCCATTCACCACTGACCCCACTGGATCGTTACGGCGACCCAGTGGTTCATCTGATAACTCCTGAAGAGAAGGCTGCCGAGATAGGTCAACACTTCGTCAGCTCCCATAATCTCGGACAAAACATCGTCAGCCCTCATGAATCTGAGGTTGCTGAAAATGTAACCAATCTTCATCAGATTCCTAACATTTTTCCAGAGGAATCCGAGATTACGGTTGACGAACTGTTGGCCTTTATCAAATCATCTAAAAACATGAAGGCCCCAGGTTTCGACAACATCCTGAATCTGGTACTCAAACACTTGAGTTCCAGATTCTACAACCATCTGGCACTGATTTTCGAAAACATCTGCCATGGCGTTGTTGGACGTTGAAAAAGCGTTCGACAATGTCTGGCATGATGGCCTGGTTTTCAAATTACAGCATTACGGTCTTCTAATCTTCCTAGTGAAGATAATAAACAACTATCTATCGGACAGGACGTTCCGAGTATCTTTGAATAGCATCAAATCGGTGCCGGGGTTTCACATGGAAGCATCCTTGGCCCCACCTGTTCACCTCCGATATGCCGGCTCTCCCTGATGGTGGATCGTTGTCTCTGTACGCAGATGACACATCCATCGTCTACAAGGGTAGGGTCAGCGGAGCTCTGACTGCCAAACTTCAGAGAGGCCTGGACGTCCTGTCTGAATACTTCAACAGCTGGAAGATCCGTATCAACGCGGCAAAGACCCAGGTAATTATCTTTCCACACTCAAAATCTGCCAGACTTGTCCCGTCTGAGAATAATAAGATCTGCTTAAATGGCTCAGTGGTGGAATGGTCCAAAGAGGTCGTGTACCTCGGGCTAACACTAGACAGCAAGCTTCTTTTCAGGGAGCACGTAGACAAAACCAAAACCAAGTGCAACATCTTGATAAGATCGTTGTATCCACTCATCAACAGGAGGTCTACCCTGTCCCTGTAAAATAAGCTTGCTGTCTACAAACAAATCATCCTTCCGGTAATAGAATACGGGATGCCAATCTGGGAGAGTTGCGCCAAATGCCATCACCTCAAACTCCAAAGGATCCAAAAAAAGATCCTTAGGTTGATCCTTAACAGTCCCCCGCGGACTAGAAATTCTGAGGTCCACCGCCTGACTGGTCTTCAGACACTGGAGTTACAGAGAGCTGACTCCATCGCAAGGTTCAGAGATTGCTGTAGGCGATCCGATCAACAGATCGTCAGGGATTTGGCACGTTAGGTTAAGTAAGGTTAAGTAGGTAGAATAACAAATTAAAACATTCAAACAACATACTTCACAAGAAGAAAATTGAAAAACATTACACAGTAAAACACAACATGTACAACACAAAATCAAAAAGTTCACCAAAGATGAAGAGCCCTTCTGACTAACCTCTTGCCCTGTATTAGCAATTGTAAACCACATAACAAATCAAAATAAAGAAGAATTTTACTACTAGCTGCAGTCTACTTAGACCAAAGATTCACTTATAATGGATCGAAATACGCTGAGAATTACGCCAATGAGAAAGAAGCTGTCGTGGTAAGTTTTACAGTGAGCTGTAATATATTGGATTTAACGCCAATTTCAGAAATATTGCCTGGAGTTATCTGCTGTCCAGAAAAGATGCCAGCCAGAACTAAAGAACGATTCCAAAATACCCATATTGAAAAGAATTGGCAGTGTTTCCCAGACTTTGATAAAACCAGAAACCACCATGTTAGATTTCAAAATGGCGTTGGATAAAAATTTCTGGTCTCTGGACGCCACCACGATTCCAAAAATAACCATATTGAAGGGTATTTCATAATGTGTCCCAGATTGTGTATACCCGAAAGCCACCATCTTGGATTTCAAAATAGCATCGGACATCGATTTCCGGTCTCGTGACGATTCCAAAAATACCCATATTGAAGTGTATTTGACAATGTTTCCCAGATTTTTTATACCAGAAGCCGCCAAAATGGCGTAGGACATCAATTTCCGGTCTCTAGACGTCACCCCTACTCCAAAAATACCCATATTGAAGTATATTTAACAATGTTTCCCACATTTTTTATACCAGCAAGCCGTTGGATTGCAAAATGACGTTGGCCCTCGATTTTTGTTCTCTAGACGTCAACCAGATTCCAAATTACCCACATTGAAGGGAATTTGACAATGTTTCCCAGATTTTAATATAACCAGAAGCCACCATCTTGGATTTCAAAATGGCTAAATATTTAGAAAGTCACCAAAGCCTATATTTTAATTATGGCACTTTTCCGTGTGCGCCAAATGGCTTTAGGCAGCTCATCACAATCTATGGCTCTCTCCGAAACGGCAGCGACTGCATATTCATATCACTTGTGTAAATGTTGTTACCTAACAAGAAAGAAATCAATTATTTTAATGCATTCAAGCTGCTTAAGCGCACAGCTAAGGATTTCAAAATTAAGCTGGAACCCTCCGTTGTTTTGACAGACTTTGAATATGCACAAATTAACGCTATTTAGCGTGTATTTCCGGATGCGAGCAGGCGAGGATGCTTTTGAAAAAAAAAAACTTATGTCCTTGGTAAGCTGAAATCCAATGAATGATGAGGCAAAACTCGATTCTCATTGGAGTTTAGGTCCACAAACCAAAGCACGGCATCTAGCTTGCCGATGACTTCAAAGGCCGTTTGAATGATGGTACAATAAGGTCTCCGGCGTGTTGTCGCATAAAACAAACTTCAAACAAAGTTTTAAGAGTGTTCCAACAAGAAGATCAGGAAACGTCAAACGTAAATCATTACGGAAAAATGCTAGGACTGTTCTTCGATTCTATTTCACAGTTGGAGTATTTAAAAAACAGCCTATTTATTACGTGAATAGATGACTGAGTTTCATATGAAACTACTTTTCTTTAAAATGAGCTTGGTTTGAAGAAGCCACATACGGCCACGAACCCCTGCATTGTAAATCGGATCAAAATTAAAGATTATCACCCTTTAAGATAATTTGAATAAATAATAACATAAGGCGTACAATAAATAATCACAGCACATCTTAGCTCTTCTTCGAGGTGCTCATACTTTTCGAGATCCCACTTTGAACCGCTTTGGTAAGCCTGGAGCTTTGCCTTGGCCTTTCAGTTGGCTTCTTGTTGCTCTCCCACTGCGTCCGGAATCCGTCGATGAATTCATGCGTCATGGAACCCACCATCTTCGCCATGGGATACTGTTCCATTCCTGCTCCTCCTCCTCCTCCTCCTTCGCCACCACCAAGAGCACTGCCGACAAGTACCTCAGAACCTCCCCCGGGAGATGATGAAGCTCTAGCAAGGCTGTTGGAAAACGACCGCCATGCACCTATCAGACTGTCCATAATCGCCGGTGAACTGCTCGACGAAGGTGCTACGATGGGCCCTGCCGCTCCCACGAGCGGTACATTAGAGTCAACTTGAGGAGCAACAATGGGCGCACCGTTGGATCCTTCCGAGATCAGTCCAGGTCTACGGCTCCGAAGACCACGTTGACCGCGTTGTTCACGAATTGGAGGTCGTTCGCGTTGCCTGCTTACTGTGCCCTGTCGGCGTGCCCTCGGGACGGGAATGCATCGATCGCATGTGCAAAGTGAGTCATCGAGTCCATCGAGAGTGGCTCCCACCAGGCCCCCACCTCTACGACGTATTCGGTTTTCACGAGGGTTGTCACTTCGAATACGAGGACCTGCGGCTCGCTGACCTGCGGCTCGCTGACCTGCGGCTCGCTGACCTCCGCTGATCTCTTTTCTGATGTCTGCTACGGCTTCAGCAGCTGCCGCCGTGGGTTCTGGTGGAAGAGCAATGACTGGCTCTGGTTGATTGGTTAGCTTACGGATAGCTTCGGCAATGTTTTTCCTAACGGTGTGAAATGTATGTCGAGTCGATTGGACCAAATTTTCAGGATTGTTATTACCCAACTGGAGCAGAGGATTCTCGGAACCAAACAGTTGCCGTTTGCTGAGCGTTCTTGGGTAGCTTTCGGGGGGAGAATTTAGAAAGAAGAAAAGGATGTTAGTTTTACAATAAATGTTGTTTATTTTGACAGTTCTAACGATAAGATTAACACACACACACAAGCAAAAACACATAGAGCTAGGTGAAGGCATTCCTGACTGGGTAACGACATTGAGTCTCTAGGATGTTAAATGTTTGCCGTTCATCAAATTTCTCCATGGTTTGAAGATTTCCATCTGAAATATGGTTCGCACTAGAATAAAATAATGCGGAATTATTGAAATGGTCATTTTCTAAGATGATGGAGGTCGCAAACGTACGTGGATTCATCCCGAAGAGACTAGTCGGCGGTGCCACAGTTTGCGTTCGCGGTAGACGTGAACTGGAGGAACTTTTGCTTCTGGAAGGCGTGTAAGATCTGGCTGGTGATGCACTTCTGCTTCTTGGATTTTTTATGACCTCGTTATTAGGGCTACACTTATCGCAGTGTTCCTTCACCTTGCGGATGATAAAGTCCTGCATCGCTGGGGGTATTCCAGTTCGAGGTTGACCGTTAGGTTCCCGTGGTGGTCCAATGCTCATGATTTCCGCTGAACTTGTTCCCGGTCGAATACGGTTAGATTGACGGTTGACAGGTCGAGTCCTTCGTTGGCGTCGATCGTCAATCGATTCTTCCAAGTTAGTTTTGGGCTCGGACCGTTCCACTTGTTCGCTGTAACTGGCCTGAACCGGTGGGGGTTCCGTAGGTTTCACTCTTCCGACACGCGCCATTCTAGGTCTCGTGGTAGTCGTAGTGGTCCAGACATTAATCGGTTCCGAGCTCATACTGGATGTTTTCCAACCTTTGAAACGCCGTTGCATGAACTGCTGTGCTCGCTTTAATCGCCAGCGAGGATCCCTCCGTGCGTGTTTTCGCTTTGAACTGTCAACGCTTCTTCTAGGCAGAGCTCGCTCGGTGGTTAGGGCAAAGATCTTCTCCCACTTGTCCTCGCTGATGCGAGCTTTCGACAATTGGGAGCGTTGCTCCGGGTTCAAGGACTTCATCATCTTCCACCAGGAACCTTTTCTTGGTTTCTGATGGTTTCTGAAGGGATTTTGCGGGTTTAGGGCTTTGCGACTGTGTGGTACGTCATTGTTTAACAGTTCACCGGAGTTCGATTCGAAGTATTCATCGCTTCGGATACTCTTCTTTGGACGTACTCTGAAGCGCATTCGTTTGCGGGTGGTTGACGCCGGTGAAGTTGTGGTTGGCGGTTCCGTAGTGGTAGTTGTGGAAGTTGCAGTGGTTGTTGTGGGTGGTAATGAGGAGATCACCGAAACATCGGTGGTTCGTCGAGTTTTTAATTTTTGAGCAATCTTCTGTCTGTTTCGTCGCCCCTTAGGATCGGTGACCTGATCGATAGCTATGAGTTTTGGTTTTATTGGCGAGGGAGTACCTGCAGGACTCCAAAACCGATGCAGGAGCTGTTCGGCACGATTTGATCGATGTTTGTTGAAAGTGGATTGGTCAAGTGCCGAGTGTCGTGTGTCACGTGGCCTTTTGGAAAGCTCACTCTTTTCACCGGAACCGATGATGATGACCGGATTTTGCTGTGATTCAGACTGTTGAAATTCTTCCTGTTGAAGTTTCCACTGCTTGAGTTTCCAACCGTGTAATTTACTACGATTCATCTTGAATATCATACGGGAAGTAAATGATGCATCATCTACAGGCGCAGTAGATAGAGTCTCCATGGTAGTACTTTCTGCGGGTGGTTCTAGATCGGGAGCCCCTTTCCGCTTCTCGATTCGATGTGGAATTTGACTTAATACATCCATGAAGCGTTGCTTCGAGTTCTTTCTCAAGGCATTGTCACGAGTGCAGCCTATTTGGAAAAAGTTGTAGTTTATGATAGCTCCTGGAACTACTTGGCCAGTGCTTTGAGGAATCTGGCTACTATGCATTCGAAACGGTACGACCATCTCCGTTCCATTTGCATCGATAAACTTGACGTTGGTGATTTGCGCAGGCTCCGTGAGGGTTTCACCAGTGGAGGATGTCTGATTAGAATCGTCTAGGAACTGATTTAGGGCATCCGTGAAATTGACTGTGCCGTCAGGTGGATTATTGCTACTGATTTCGTTACGAATTACTTGGATATCCTCTGGGACGGACTCCGCACCAACAAGGTGTTCGGAACCATCGGTCTGAACTAACGCTTCTTCAATTCTTCTCGAGCTCTTATCGTTAGAACTGTCTACGGAATGGTCAAAGGGAGCGAATGATGCATACCTGTTCCTTAAGAATCCCTGGCGTATCCTATGGGGTAAATTCGAGACTTCCCGTGCATTTCGTGGACCTTGCAAGCTGCTTGCATGTGCATTGGATTGATCAGCATGTTCTTCCCTTGCATCTTGTGTCAAATGATCATTTTCTGTACCCTGAAAACTGGGTCCTGTTAATTGGGGAGTTCTACTATGAATGCTGCCCAAATGACACCTGTCTATCGCTAGACGTACTCACCTCAAATGAATCGATCAGAAACCCCGACGGAGGTCCTGCTGAAGGTTTGATGTTCCTGACATTTATAAACCTCTTGCGTCTGGATTTTTCAGCTGGAACAAGCTCTTCTATGGTGCCATCTTCGTTGTAGAATCCCACCAATAGCGGTAGAACTTCTGGAACATCTATATCCTCGACCTGATCTGGTGAGTGAACTATCTCTACTGCTTGTGGTATTACCTCTTCTTCCGCATGGGCATTAGGGTTGCTTGCTCTTAGCCAAGGTAATCCAGGCCTTGCAAAGGGCAAGGGTTGTCCGAAAAGACCCCTGATTATTCCAAATTTCTTAGGTCCGGGTCGTCGAAGAAAAGCCATTACCTGCTTTCGAGTGAAAAATCAGTTTTGCATAAATTTGGAATTAAAAAAACTGCAACTTCACAAACCTTGTCATTTTCAATGATCAAACTGACAACAAGCACCACACACACTATCAATTCTGAACGCTTCATTTGTACAGCAGTATGGTAGCTCACGTAACCTCAATCACTGTTTCACTTTTGCCGAAAAAATATCCCTTTTCAGAGCCACTAGCCTCATCACACCTCACAGTCCAACTACTGATTGCAAAACCTACCCAATCCTGCATTTTATAACATACGAAGCGGAACGCATCCGGCTGCAACCCGTCCGAAGCCTAAACATATTATCCAAACAACCAACCCGCTAACGGAAATCGTATCACCCGACGGTCATCGCTACACCTTGGACTTGTTTGCAAACAAACCAACAACCATGCCACAATTTGTGTGGCAAAAAGTCACGTGCAAGAGTATGGCTAACTGACTTCGCGGAATTACGTTCCAAAAAGTTCAACAACCTCCCATTTCCACTCTGGATCCGGGGGTGAGAACACTGAGAACTATTCTCAAATTCCAAACTCAACTGACCCGATTAAAGTCGATCTGTTTACCACACCTGTCAACACATCGAGCTCTGCAAAATTGTTTGTTTACTAATTGGCCGACTTACCAACCGACCTCCGCCTTACCCTCCTCGGTTAACTGATCTCGTTAAAAAGTTCACACCTGCGCAAACCAAACGGTTGTTAAGCTAGAACAAAAATGTGCGTGATTTTCGGATTTTGGATCTAATTACGGTACAAGCTAGTTTTTTTTTTTCTTTCTGCAAATCATGCAAAATGAGATCATAGCGCCAAATTGAACCGGCTGTTAAATTGTTTTCGCAATTAATTGCTGGCATTTTCGGTTGAGGTGTAAGTAGTTGTTGGATGCGATACGACGATACCACCCAGGTTGAACGCGGGGAGAGCGGGAGGAGTATCGATATAATTGATGAATGAATCCAAGAAGAAGTGTTTAAAACTCTACGTGAAATAATTATGCTACTTCAGTGCGTTAAGCAGATCGTTTGGTGGTTTATGCTTCCGTAATCACGGTTAACTGGATGTTTTGTTAGATCATTTGAAGCATCTTGACGTTTGACTACGTTTTTGTGGAATATGCTAGGGTGCAAATTAAAAAAAAAATGTGTGACGAAAATAGTGTTAGGTTTGAAACGCTTATTACTTGACAATTTATGGATGGACTTCAATTTTTATCACACCATTTGATTCAAGATTCGTTTGGTGTAAAGATTAGTAAACTATTGAAAATTGATCAAACTTTTTGGCATAACCATGCTTGTTTGCTATGACTATCGATCGAGAGATCAAAGAGAGACAAGCAGATTGTGAGTTTATAAAAGCTGGGGGTTAAACTGCCTAAAATCGCTTATCGACTTTAATAATGAAAAATGTGAAAACAACATCAAGTCAGTTTGTCCCATCAAGCGAAGTTATCTCATATCAGTCCCATGCTGAAATTAAATCGTCCAGAGGCTAAGTTAGAGTTCGGCTTTTTGAATCGCCATATTTTCGATGATATAACAAATCATGCAAGCTACATTGGTACTGTTTTTAACTTGACAAAATTATCGACTAATTTTTTAAGCTTGTTTAATATTCACATGGAAATTGCACACTCAATGCCTACTTTTTCCATATAGGACTGATATGGGATTATAGGCAGAAAACATGTCCCCAAGGGGAAAGAATGTACTGGTTCTGTGCACATGCACTTCTTTTAAGTTCAGTGCTAACTGGCGTTGCTAGATTGCTGCTCATCTCTCGATTTGTGTTGCAACTCTGAAAACATTCGCATGACTGCCCTGCATTCCAGGTACGAGAGGTGCTGCCCACGTTTGAGTTCGGATTGCTCAGGATTGCCTAAGGTCCGTTTAGACTATCTGATTTGTATGTCTGACTTTCCATGCCGCCATAACGAAAAATCTGCTCGATTTCACTTACGACAAATCATGTCGAATCCCTTTATCTGACCGTGTTTACACTGTTTGCATAAGTCAAAAACGTAATCTGTCAAACGATTTGGATTTGAACATTTTAAACAAAGTCAAAGCAGAACATAAAAATTTAATTCTAATTCGTAGTTTCTCGGGTAAATCATTGTATTTGTTCAATATAAAGTTCCCGATACCCCGCTGGATGAGCATGAATTAAAGTAATTTAGCACTTGCTTCTGTTGGTATATTTACGTTCATAATTGTGAATAAAATGCAAAAGAAGCGAAAAAGAAAATTGTGGAGTCGGCAGTGGCTGCTGAAGAGAAATACCGGCAAGGATCTTGCTTAGGAATGGGCGATGTCGATGCGATTTTTACAGAATCGATTTTTTTGCCTCGTAAAATCGATTTTTTTCATCCGATCTTTTTCTGTTCGATGTTTGACAGAATCGATTTTTCAAAGTTGATATCGATTTTTTACTCATTTAAACTTTTTTATAAAGCATTTAAAAAATCAAAACGCCTAAATTACCAAAGGAGAAAATAAAATCACCGAACTCTTTTTATGTTGTTGTTGATTATGTTGAATCAAATCAGGCATAACATTTGATAACGGCGCAAAAGCATTTGTAAACAAACAGTTTAAGGCCCTTTACACGCGAACCAAAGTAAGCCCACGCAAACCAATGCCACTTTCGGAAAGGTGATAGTTGCCCCTATCCGATGATGTTGTTGGTTTGCGTGGGCGTATTTTGGTTCGCGTGTAAAGGGCCTTAGAAAGTATGTTTACAAATGCTTTTGTGCCGTTATCAAATGTTATGCCTGAAATGTTATCATTGAATTCTTGAAAAAAATGATAAACAAAATGGTATTTCACTATCCCAAAAATATGTTTTTATTTAAAATCAAGCAATTTTAATTTCATCGTCCTCAAATTTTGCTAAACTTTATTTATTTGTTACTTTTTATGTTGTGTGTACTTTGGACCCATTCTTTCTAATTCATCCAGCTGATTTTGTTTGCAAAAAAAAACACGCACTCCTTGATGCAAAAAACATTGGAAAGGTGAGTTTTAATACCTACACACTAAGATTATTTAACAGATTTCTGTAAAATTTTACCGAAATCTCAACAGCTGAACGTTCGGTAAACAATTTTACAGTTTTCCTGTAATTATTTACAGATATCTGTGAAAAATTCACAGATAATTGTGAAACATTACAGGAAATCTGCGAAACTGTTTACCGTACGTTAGGCCACAAACGAAGTGACAGACGACTAACTGGCGAAGAAATCAATTAAAATAATGTGGTTCACTGTAATAGAATTTTCTTGGAAGCTTGTGCCATCATCCAGATGGGTTAGTTTTTTTGTTTTGATTTGAACAAATTTGATTTTGTGTACAATGATTATTTAACAGTGTGCAAAGAGTGTATCATTTTGTCATTTTTTTATGCATTTCAGTTTTGAGTAGAGTGAAAGAGATAGAACCAAAACATTCTAATACATTTGGTGAAAATACTTATACAATCCAGTAGTAGTGTTGCCATGTGGTACAATCCAGTAGTAATGGTGTTGCCATGTGGTACACTGAAAAATTGAAATAGCAGGTTAGTCACCAAAGTTTTCGAGCCGCTCCGTCTGTCACTTCGTTTGTTGTTCAGCTGTTGAGATATAGAGTTGAAGTTGAATAACACACTTAGAAAAAATCATGTAAATTTAGGTGCTCTGAGCCTGACATATACGAGCGTCAATTTTGACATAAAATTGTGTCATAATAGACATGAAATTCAACTCAATAAAACGTATTTTTCGTCGAGTAACGAACTTTTCTGTCTCGGAGCATTTAATTTTACATTACATGTTTGTTCACGACGCATCTTTTATGTCAAAGATGGATTCCGTCACATGTAAAATTAGGTATTTCTAGCTGTGAAGCTAAATATTAGCAATATTTCTTAATAATTCGGTTTCAATATTTAAATAGAGTGCAATTGCTTTTGTGAATTGGTTTTATACAAATAAATGCTCACACACATACACTTAAACAACAGGAAGAGGAATATTTCGTCTAATAGAAGATTATAAAGCATAATTCAAATATTTAAAAAAAAAACGATTTTACTCGAATCGATTTTTTTTCTTTCGATATTTTAGAGGATCGATTTTATAGTCAGTTTGAGAATCGATTCGACAACATCGATTTTTTGTTTCAAAACGCCCATTCCTTTGCTCATCTGCTTCTACACAGCAAAAAAAAATGTAATATCGATCAATGTAATTCAAGCTGATGTATGAAATAATGATGTAATAGCAAAAAGCAAATACAATATTACATCAATGGATGTAATTTTGTTCGCAAAATCGATGTACATCGTACAACGTTATATTACACAACCGATGGATTGACCTGGTTGCAGCAGTTTGGATGTAATATTCAACAACTTTTTTTTCTGTGTACAAGAACTTCGGTACGATGACATAAAAGGCTTCCAAAACTTTGTCAGGATATCAGCTCTAGCATTGGGCGATCTTGAAGCAAGAATCGATCTTAGTGAATCGATTCATATTTTTTGAAAATAATCGATTCACCGATTTAATCGATCTCTATCGGTTTATCGATCGATAAATCGATTTATTTTTTTAAATGGCACAAAAATGATTCAAATATAACGGATCATAGGAAAGTTTGTGCAGATTAACGCCAAGTTCAGTCAAAAGTTGATATTACGTTACATAAGCTATCTTGTTATGACATTCAGTGCTAACATTTGAAAACGGCACAAAAGCCATTTGTAAACAAATGGTTTGTGGGCCCTTTACTCACTACTTGAAGTACACCCACGCGACACAACAGCAACATCGGGTAGGGGAAATTTTCCCCTTCCTGACGATGCTGTTGGTTTGTGTGGGCGTTCTTCGGGTAGCGAGTAAAGGGCCCACAAACCATTTGTTTACAAATGGCTTTTGCGCCGTTTTCAAAATAAATTGTGTAGTATTTACGCAGTAAAAGTTGTGAGTGTAACACTCATACATGATGAGAATATAGAAAATTACTATTTTGATTTCATATGACATGTGGATACTTGATTAGGTGAGTGATTTAAAAGGTTAGAATCAGGGTTCTGCATTTTCGAAACAAAGAAAAGAAA